GTATCATGTATGTATGATTTAACAGGCTAAGTAATGAAAGGCTGAAACTGAAAGCCTGAGAGCAATATGCATAACAAATATCGACCAATACAGCTGAAACGTCAAATCAAATTAACTAATCACCACTAGATAGAATCGGGAAACGGGAAAGTTGATTTGGTCCTCGGAAATTGAATCGGCCTCTCTGGCTTCCACTTTTTAGAAAGAAACAAAAATTTATCAACACAAACAACTACACCCAATACTTCCCCAAATAAGATGGAAATGGTGAAAGCAGAGAAAAGAGAGAAGAGGTAGTTTACCTTTTTTGTTATTGATACTGTGAGTCTGTGAGGAGAGAGAAAGAGAAGAAGCCACGTTTGTACCTGGTGTCTGTGTGTTTGAATAAGATGATGATGAGATGGAAAATATGAGGAAGGTAGTAATATAAACAAAAAAATTCAACGTCATTTGGTTTTGTTTTTGTTGTTACAGAATACTTTTTCAACGGAACATGTAACAACAATCTATGAATCGTAAATTAAACAAATATGGGTGAGTGGAAGTGTTTTTAATTTCTAAATTTTTTTTTTTTTTAGTTTAGTTAAATTAATAAATTTAAAGGGTTTAAAAATAATTAAATAAAATATGATAGTATTTTTAAAACACGAAAACAAATGTGTATTTTGAAAATGATAGGAATAAAATAGAACAAAAATATAAAAACAAACGCACCAGAATCTGCTATGCCCTGTTTTATACTAATTTTATTATTGATATCTTTTATATACATGATTTCAGTAAAACTAACAAAATAATGTAAGTGGACCTGTAATATTATTGAGAATTAAAATATCAAAACATGATACATGTGAGAAACTTATTTTATATGTAATTCACATTCCACTCATACAGTATCATTAATTTATTCATCTTATAATTCACGCAATATATTGAAATAATTTTATGAGTTATCCAAATTGTAGTGCAACTATGATTAGTTATATTAAGAGGATATTGTCTATGAGTTGCAAAAGAGAAAATTAACAGGTTTACCCCCAAAAAAAAATTAGTGTCATATTTGCTTTTGGTCTACAGCAATAATATATCATTGCATTGAATATAAGATAAGTTCATTTGATTTAATTTTATCATTGCATCAAATATAAGATCATATGTGTTTGTTTCTCTATTTTGAGTAGGATTTTTGAAATTATACCCAAAATATATATTTGTTTCCATATTCTGAAAATCAAATTATATTCTATTTAACTATTTAAACCCCCTAGGTTTGTTAATTTAACTAAATACCCTCAACAAAAAAAAAAGTTTAAAATTTGACAAAAGCACCCCCACCCACCTACATTTGTCAAATTCTGGCCACCACCGCCAGAAGGTGACTAGAATCTGGTATAATAGTGCACTACCGGTTGGATCTGGTCGGTAGTACGTCGATCTAACATTTTTCAGTCAGATCCATCATAGATTTGGTCAAAAAATACCAGATCTAAAGCCAAAGATTTAGCCGTTGACGGCCAAATCTAAAGCCATAGCTAGTCGTCAATAACGACCATATTTTTTGTCGTTATTGATGACCAAATGCGACCAGATTGACTCACGAGCCACCAGATCTAACCGATCGTACGTCATTACGACTACTTCTGACCACCCTCTGGCGATGGTGGCCGGCATTTAATGCATGAGTAGGATATTTTTATTAATTTTTAATATTTTATTATAAAATTATTTAACTAAATTAATAAACATATAAAAATATTTTTATTAATTTTCAAATCTTACCTTATAATAACTATTCAACTCAACTTTATTAAAAATTCTATTCAAAATAATAAAACAAACACTAAATATTTTTTCTTTTAAGGAATAAATTAAACCCCGCGTCAATGACAAAGCTATATTTTGGGAGAGCCTCGAGATGTCATCATTCACAACCGACATGAGAAAAGGGACAAAGTACTCCTTAAAACTTGCAAACAGGTAACAACAAAGTCTAGTGGCATCCGATTAACTTATATGAGATAAGGTTAAAGTCCACAGTGTTCTCTTTTTAACTTGACAAGTGGAAGTGTAGGATTCTAGACAAAACAGCTCTACATATTGGAGATCCATAATCTCTGTTATTACTCGTTACATAAACGCAGTGTACGTGTTCAATCAAATGCCGTTTCCAACTAAATCCTTATGTTTTTAATTGTTACAGTAGAACTACTTTATATAAAAATAATTTTTAGGTAATTATAAAAAAATTTGGTCTTAACTTATACAAGTTATAAATAAAAATAAATTTTATACTATAATAAGTTATAATTTTTTTTAGTCTCGTTTTAAGAAACTTGTCTCTATATAGTAATAATTATATATATATTACAAAAAATATATGTTATGTTACATTAAAGGTTTAAAATAAAATAAAATGTTTATCTAAATTTGTTTGGGATAATAATTTATGTCTTAGAATTGTTACCACATCTTTTATCTTACGGATACGTAATAAGTCACTAGCATGGAGATCTTCTTGTTTAAGCTAAAATATTTTTAGCTTCTCAAACATGTTTAGAGCTGCTTGGTACGAAACTGTTGGTATTTCTGTACTATCATCCTCAGGATTATCTTCTTCCTCTTCTTATCTAATTCCAATAATGATTTCTTCTTCAGTTAAAGTATACATGACTTGTTGCCCATTTGAATGATTGAGAGAAACATAAATATCCATTCGATTAGTGTAATGAAGTTGTCGAATTTGATCACTCAATTTATTTGTATGATTAAAACTTGAATTGTAAAATAAAAAATCAAAACAATAATTCTTATAACTACAGTTTTAACATTATGATTACAGAGAGGTTGTACATTATAATATATTATGCAAATCCAGCATGTAAAACGTTACAATCACAACCATATCATAGAAGCGGTAACACCTAACCCTGGCCTGTAGTAATATCTTGGGCCTTCCAAGCACGATCCTGAGGCCCTAAATATATGAGCCTAATCTGCTTTTATTAGGCTCATTTTGGGCCAGTTAATTGGATGAAAATAGATGGGATCATTAGAGAAGTTCCTATTTAGGCTCGAGCCATAACTTGATCCTAGACCTAGGTTAGCAGTAATTTGGGCCCTCAAAATCACTATTTTGGGGACTCAAATTAATGAGCCCAAAAAATAGATAAGTAAATGCAGGCTGCGCTCATTCTTTTGAGACCTCAAGAGTTAAGGAGTGGTGTTATTTAAGCCCATCTAAACTCTTTCTAAACCCCAAAATTAATTAGAAAAAAACAAATTTTATTTTTATTTTAAAATTACCCTTTTCTTAATCTTTTTTAACTTCTCTAATTTCCTAATCTTTTTCAACTTCTTTTCTTTCTTAAAAACTCATGATTTAAAAATAGTTATAAAAAACCTATAAAAAAATATTAAAAAGACTATTTATTGTCATGATTTTGCACAAGAAATATTTTTTTCCAACCATTGTTTTGTTTTGCGCTTCTTTTTTTTTTTTTATTGGATTTTCAAACTTTTTCCAAATCACAAGTATAAGGTTTTCCACTAAATCATTGTAATGTATTACGCAAAGACCAGAGCTATTGACACCCCAGCAATAGAGAGGCCCAATTTCTAAAAGCACCATATTTCAAAGTTTTAAATTTTTTTTTTTTTTTTCTTATGGCATCCAGTAAATACCATAAATACCCTTCATTGCATTTTTTTTCTTATAAGAGTTGACATTCCATTCCCTTCAATTGTGCTATATAACCGCACCATCGTTATTCTTAGAACAATAAAAAACATTGAAGCTAAAGAAATCCTTACAAATTTCCTAACATAATAGAGTTAAACAACTCAAAAAAATATATAAATTAATACAGCTACCAATACTTTGAAGAAAAAAATAACAATAATTTTATATGTGACTAAAAAAAAATCTCATTTATCAAATCCTATTTTTATTATTCATTTTCATTAAAAAGAAAAAAAAGAAAAAAAAAGGAGGGGGTTTGTAAGATAACCATCTCGAAATAACTCATCTCCTAAGTCGTAACTTTGAGCTCTCATACCACTTGTTAAGAGATCATGTCACGAAAACATAATTCGAGATTACTTATATAAAAATACAATATTTATATGGTTCAATATAACCCACCTATATATACGGACGAGAGAAATTTACTATATTTTCATGAACACGATATACAAGAGTACGCAACATCATAAACTTGATACACAATTAACAAAATAGAAACAATCTCAGTTTCTCAGATACTCTCCCCTAATTATCCTATGGAAGTGATTGAAGATTGTATCTTTAATGATTAAATAGTTTTAATGAAGGGATGGAATAAATATGAAGAAATTGAGAAGAAATGAGGGGAAACTAGAGAGAACTCGGAGAAAATTAGTCTTCTCTTGCATTCCTTTCCATGAATAATGAGTACATGATACTTTTACATAAATGCTAGGTCTATGCCTTGTTGGGCTTTAGTTGATTAATTCCATCATTTTATTTTTTATTTTTTACACAATTTACATGCTAAAATTATGCTTCTAAAGATGAATAAAAAACAACAAACAATGCATATATGACATAGATCATCACATAAATGTATTGAACATAATCTCAATATTTTCTGCACATGCTAAATAAAACCTTATCATTTTCATATCAAGTAACATGTAATTTTAATTATTTGATATTGACGACTAAATAAATATAGTAAGTGACATGGTATCAAAGAATGCCATTTCTTTGGTTGCTTAAAGATGGAAGTGTTAAAATGAAAATGAAAACCAGATGGTGTATATCTTCTTCAAAATAAAATGAAATGCATGTAATTCTGGTGTGGCCAAGAAATCCTTGCCTTCATCAGGGATTAGTTCCACCATTTGTTAAACTGCAATAACAGAAATTTTCTAGAAATGTTAAATTGCACAGTCTGCTTTCCTTCATCAGGGATTGGTTCCACCATTTGTTAAACTGCAATAACAGAAATTTTCTAGAAATGTTAAATTGCACAATCTGCTTTTTAGCTTTTTCCATGTCTGTTTTAAAATCGAATCCATGGATATGGCTTACACATCAATGGAAAATTCCAAAACTTAAAAAGCAGCCAACAATCTTTGTCCTTTGAAACACAAACCACATATGGTACAGTACATTGTCCCTCGTGCAGGGAAGGGCGAATGTAAGATGCCAAAATAGGCATCTAATTACAGACTGAGAGGCAAGTTTTGAGTCTCTGCACCAGCGCCTCACATGGATTTATTAGAATCTGGACAGAGATTCTTTACACGATCACTGGAGATAAATAAGTTGTAACGTTTCTCCCATTCGAATCACAATACATATGAAACAGCAAATTTATCTAAGCTGGAACTGGTTCAGGGACTTTGCTGTTGTCGGTGAATGGAGACAAACTGTCATAGTATTCCACCAACACTTGCCACCCACCAGGGCACATAAACCCATCAGGAGGATTCTCTTTGTTCTTTGCCAGTGTTCGCATCTGTAAAATGCAAGCAGGCCATGTTAAATAATGAGAGTGAATAATAGACATAGATGAAATATCTCATGTCAATCGCTTTTTAGAAACTTGTGAACAAAGTTCTATGAAGAGAGATGTACCTTGGTGCCTGATATAAAGAGGAAGTCCTGAGGCCTTGACGGATCAAAGAACACCATTTTACCTTGAGTCTTGTCATATGCTGCAACCTGCAGCAGTACCAAACAAATTAACCACCAGGAATTCCATTTACTCGAGGGAAGTGTTAAAATGAAGAATAAATGATAGATGATTTAATACCTTGAAAGGAAGGATGTTTAGCCGCTCTAGTCCAGGAGCAATGCTCAATACCTTCTTCCCATGGTCAGCATCATATAGATCTCTCTTCTCAACAGGATGGCTCATGCCAGCAGGGTCCCTACCAACAATGTAAAAGTTAGCCCCAGCATTAATCCGGGCTTTTGCATGCCACTGCACCTCAGTTGGACCAGCATAGTGCATGGGCGAAGGAAATATAGACACCACAGTGGTTTCTGGATCAAGAACACCGTCTTCAAGCACCTAAGAATAAATCATCATTATCACTGAAAATTAGCTTCCATTCATGTTGGGCATTTGTATAGTAATTTAAGCAGACAAAAACCATCATCATGGTCAGCTTATAGGCTTTCAGGTTCAAGATGCTATAGGACTACTCTTTACCATTTAAGCGTAATGGTTTCCCTTTGATACCACAACTTAAGTTCCAATATGTTTTGTTTTGAAGAGAAAGGACAGAAAAATAATAAATAGAGAAGTAAAAAAACAGATATACAGGGTGAAATGCCAATTCAGGCATTCTAAGCTCAAGGATGTTATAAATTGTTATAAAGACACAAATTTCAGGTTCCTGCTTCTCCTTGCCTAATATCTGATGTTTAGGCTAATTACAAACAAATCTGTAAAAGTGTTGGGTCAAAAAACTGATCTAAATACCTTTTCATGTTGTTTCATTCGCCAGCTAAGGGGGACATCGTCTGCCTTTGTGTAGCCTCCCAATGGATGAAGCAAGAGGATTGGGTTCTTGTAACCCATCTCAAGGAGCCGCCGACGAGTATCAGTCATCAACAAAGCATGGCCATTATGCACAGGATTCCTGAGCTGGAAAGCAAACACTGCATCGGCATTGCGCTTTGTAAATTCTTGACGAAGTTGTGCAGGTGACAACCGAAAACGATCAAGACCATCATGATACTTGATTGGTTCTATAACCTCTAAGTCACCTCCAATCAACCAGTTTCCAGCATTAGTTATTGCCTGATCAACATAAGGTAGACCAGGGGCGGTTGTTCCCCATGTTCTGGCTATCCTTTCTTCTTTGGGGTGCTTGTAGATCTCAATACTGAAAGACCCAATAAAAAGTAAATAAATAAGAAAACAGAAAAGTAACTACTAGCAGGCATGAAAGTTGACATTACAATTAATGTTTATACTTGACAAAGAGTAAAGATATTGCAAACATAACTAACACAAGATTCCAGTATCGATAAATATGAAATCCTATCATCTGAAAGTCAGTATTGTTACGGCTAGGAAAATGATCATAAAGGCAAATGCATCATCCTGAATTCATGTTGATTTTGTTCCTAAAATACAAGGTGATCAATGTATATGACATGCTCAGAGAAATAGAACAAAAAACATATATATATATATATTGAATCATATTCAATGCGTTAGATCCCGTTAATAAATACTTAGAAATAATGCCCGATTTCAACTGTCAACTTCATTCCTCTAGTAGAGTGTTGGGTAACCAAGTTAAGATTTGTTAAAATGGTTAGTAGAGACGCAATGCAGAAAAAAATAAAGAGTAAAGTGCTCTTTTTTTGCAGGATCAACTATTCTTTCAATCATCATTTAATCATAAGGTTGGGGTAATTTTCAAAACAAAGGAATTGCATACGACAAAGTGACGTGACATTACTTTTGTATTATCATGTCGTTCAACCTCACTAATTGTACATTTAATAAGTTGACTTTTTTATTAATTCATCCATTCATTTCCGCGCCTATGTCACTTTCGACCAGCTTTATATGAGTATTATTCATTTAGCAAAATGTTTAAGTCTAAGCATATAGAAAAAACTTGTATTGGGAAAGAGAACTTGAAATAATTTTAAGTTAATTTAATGTCCATGGAATAAAAATATGTTTATTATTAATAAGAAAAAATAAAACTGTATGATCACAAATAGTTTCATTGATCTTAAGTTTTGATACCTCTAAATCTCAATTACCATAGAAGAGACCAACATGGAAAAAGTAAAGATATGGTTCAAAGTCATCAGTATCGCCATGAATAACAGTATGCAAAACAGTTATAAGATCCTAAAGCCTTTAGACTAATAGGTCAACAATTGTCAAATACAAAAAATTAAAAATTAAAAAAAAGGCACCAATGAAAATGACCTTATTCACAAATAGTAGGATTCTTGTCGGTATTGTTTATTTTTCTTACTTATGAACCCAAACCTTAACAAGTATGAAAAGCCTATTTTGTCAAATGTGCAAGACATTTTCTAACTTTGCAGTGAAAAGTTAACTCAAAAGCAATACACACCACCAAGCTAATTACAACTATTGTCTAATTACCCACCCCAAAGAAAAAAACTGAGACATGACTTCTTATGGACAAAAAAAAAAAAAAATTAAATAAATAAATAAAATTCCAATTCCTCAAAGTTGCCTGGTATCCATCTCTTCCTAATATAAGCCAAATTGAACATATTCAAAAACTTTAAATTTTTTTGAAATTAAATAACAAAAGAAAGGCATGAGGAACTTCTAAACATGAAAAAACCCACATATATATGGCTTTAAACAGTCCAAAAGAGAAATTAATCATGCAAATTAAATTAGCTTAAGATTTGACAGAAGTTTATGGAAATCCAAAAATAACTAGAATCTTACTCGCTCAAAATCGCAACTGTGTTATCATCTGAGTCAACGAGAGCGACGCGGGTGCACCCACCGACCCGCTGCTTCTGGTCGTCGTCGATCGCCAAAACGATCGGGACGGACATGTTAACAACCGACCCGTCATCCATACGGAGCGAGTTGAAATGAAGAGTTTGGAGGAACTCGGATTCTCTCATGAATCCAGCGAGTGGGCTGGCCCACCCCTCGCTCAACACGTGTACCCATTGAAGATCAATCCTGGAAAGCTTAATTCTCGGCAAACTTAAGGCCTCTCTCTTCTTAACATCCGTTAAAGATTTCTCCACGAAGAGTTCCGTCAGTTTGCCGCCGTCCGGTTCGATCAACGCGGCGCGAATTCGGACATTGAAATGCGCAGTTTTGGGCTTGATTGAGAGAGTGTGAGCAGGAGCGAAATGGCAAATTTGTGACTTTCTGAGAGTGTAAGAGGGGAAGGTGGCTTTGGTGAAGAAGGTGGACATGGTGGCCATTGTTATGACTTATGAGACAGAGAGCACCCAAGATTGTTGCTTGACTAGTGGTTTCGTTAAATAATGGAAAAGAAGGGTAATTTGGGGATTTTGAAGAAATTAAAAAGACAATGATTTAGCGAAGACATTGATGGGTATAGAGTATAAGTTTTATAGGAGAGTTATTGCGTGAAATTGCCAAACTGGGAGGATGAACCTGGACACTTTCAATTTTTTGTATTATATTTAGCCTGCAGTGCACTTTGGGCGGGCTACTTTTGCGAGCAACTTTGGGATACAATTCCAAAAGTACCCTTTTATGGGTCATAATTATATAATTATTTTTGTAATGTTTCCTCGTGTTGTTTTCTTAGGTCAAATCAATTTCTCAAATTTTGATACTTTTTTCAGCTCGTTTAATAATATTTTTTTATCCACTTTAAAATACCATTTTACTAGTTAAATTGACTCATGAGATAGAAAGTACCCAAGACTGTTGCTTGACGGGTAGTTTCGTTAAATAATGGAGAAGAAGGGTAATTTGGGGATTTTGAAGAAATAAAAAAGACAATGATTTAGTGAAGACATTGATGGGTATTAGCGTATAAGTTTTGTACGAAAGTTATTGCGTGAAATTGCCAAACTGGGAGGATGAACCTGGACACTTACAAATTTTTGTATTATATTTAGCCTGCAGTGCACTTTGGGCTACTTTTGCGAGCAACTTTGCGAGACAATTCCAAAAGTACCCTTTTATAGGTCATAATTATATAATTATTTTTGTACTGTTTCCTCGTGTTGTTTTCTTAGGTCAAATTAAGTTCTCAATTTTGATACAATCTATAGAGTATATGACTTTTCCTCCACCCAAATAATGGTTTAATAACATTTTTTTATATCATTTTACTATTCAATTTTATATTATATTTTTAATTTCGGTATCGTTACGACCCCATACCATTAGCATTTTTTTCACTAATCATCACTCACCAAAATCCTTAAAACCCTACTTTTATTGATTCTGTCAATCGCAAGCAATTGAGTCATTAGGGTTTGCGCTGTCACCTTTTCAAGTCAAATTTCGATCAATTCCAACCACCAAAATCCAACATTCCACCTTCAAAAGATTCATCGACATTTCTTATTCAAAAGCCTTAATAGCTTGAACCAAATTTATTCTTTGTTCGTCGCTGAAATATAAAATTGGATAATAAAACAGTACTTTAAAAGTTTGTGAGTGAAAAGTATAATTAAGCTATTATTTGAGTAAGAAAAAGTCTTTAACTCCGTTTTAATAAAAGGATAATTCATCAATATGGTGAAGAGTTTATTACTAATATACTAGATTACTAATACTACTTTAGTTAAATTAGTATTTCAAAGATAAACTTAGGGATAATATGGTCTCTTGACCCCAAAACTTAGGGTTATAAATTTTTGTAAAAATTATAATTTAATGTAGAAAAAATAAAGCCGCCCTATTTTGAACAAAGAAAAGAAAAAAGAGAAATGGGGTTGCGCATACCGTAATAGTAGTGAACTGAGGTTCTAGGAATCTTCTTCATAAATTTGAAATCAAATTCTTTTATAGGAGAGGAAAGTGACCTCCTTTGTTTCGTAATAGACGTCAGGTGAACGTGCCCCTTTTAAAGGCTAGGTTCACTTTTCGCATCTAGAGTTGTCAAATACAAACTTTTCTTCTACTTTACATTGACACTTTGGACTAAGAGTAAACCACATTTTCCCGCCCAAGTTTGCCAGAACCACATTTTCTACCTAAAAAGTTTCAAAATACGACTTTTTCACCCAAAGTTTATATTCCGTTAATACCTAAAATACACTTCACTTTCTCAGTTGAGGTTCGACGAGTTGCCAAGAGTAAGGGTACAAGAGGTTTTATAGAGTAAAGACCGATGGATTGAATGGTGGTGACCAGTTGAATATTCGCTTTTAGAATCAGTCGGAGATCAGCTAAAAACATGAAACCCTAATTTTATGGTGGTTGACAATCGGCAAAAAATTAGGTGTCGGGGGTGAGAGAGCTTTTGTTGAGAGGAGGCAGGAGGTTTAAATGGTAGTGACGAAGAGAATTCTAGCCGCCAGAATTGGCTTTGAGTAGTAACAGAATATTAACTTTGGGTGAGAAAGTGATATTTTAAAAAAATTTGGGTGGAAAAAATATTCAAGCAAACCTTGGGTGGAAAAAGGTCGTTTACTCTTGGAATAATATTATTACGAACTTTTAATTGTAGCAGGAAAGTCCAGGTACACTGCTCATTGCTTTCCACTTTGCTTGACTTGAACCAAACCTCCCTATTCCACTAATATTTTACCATATTTAGCTTTTTTCACTATATAATATCACGATGTAAACATTGTATCTATCTAAAATTTTTATTTCCATTTACATGTAAGTCCAGTAGTAGATCCATAAATTGTTGTTAGGGTGGGTCAAAATAAAATGTAATAATATATAATATTCATATTATATGTTTTTAGTTGAAATTGTCATAAAAAGAAAAAAAAATTACATATAAATATTTTTAAAAAAAATTTGAGGGTGGGCAACTCTAGATCTGCCCCTGCATCTCACCATATGCATATTATCATATCATTTATTATACCGTTACATTACTGGAAGATAAAATTAATAGCATAAATCAAACTTCTTCATACAAATCAGTGCGATATCATGCAATTAGACTATTGAAAATTTTAAATAAATAGTGGTAAATGATTTGTATAAGTCTGTGAAATTGCACAGTCTGCTTCCTTATCAGGGATTGGTTCCACATTGTAAACGCAATAACAGAAAATTTTAGAAATGTTAAATTGCACAATCTGCTTTTAGCTTTTCCATGTCTGTTTTAAAATCGAATCCATGGATATGGCTTACACATCAATGGAAAATTCCAAAACTAAAAAGCAGCCAACAATCTTTGTCCTTTGAAACACAAACCACATATGGTACAGTACATTGTCCCTCATGCAGGAAGGCGGAAGGGCGAATGTAAGATGCCAAATAGGCATCTAATTACAGACTGAGAGGCAAGTTTTGAGTCTCTGCACCAGCGCCTCACATGGTTTATTAGAATCTGGACAAGATTTTTTTACACGATCACTGGAGATAAATAAGTTGTAACGTTTCTCATTCGAATCACAATACATTGAAACAGCAAATTATCTAAGCTGGAACTGGTTCAGGAACTTTGCTGTTGTCGGTGAATGGAGACAAACTGTCATGTATTCCACCAACACTTGCCACCCACCAGGGCACATAACCATCAGGAGGTTCTCTTTGTTCTTTGCCAGTGTTCGCATCTGTAAAATGCAAGCGGCCATGTTAATAATGAGAGTGAATAATAGACATAGATGAAATTCTCATGTCAATCGCTTTTTAGAAACTGTGAACAAAGTTCTATGAAGAGAGATGTACCTTGGTGCCTGATATGAAGAGGAAGTCCTGAGGCCTGACGATCAAAGAACGCCATTTACTTGAGTCTTGTCATATGCTGAACCTGCAGCAGTACCAAACAAATAACCACCAGATTCCATTACTCAAGGAGGGAAGTGTTAAAATGAAGAATAAATGAAGATGATTTAATACCTTGAAAGGAAGGATGTTTAGCCGCTCTAGTCCAGGAGCCATGCTCAACACCTTCTTCCCAGGTCAGCTCATATAGATCTTCTCTCTCAACAGGATGGCTCATGCCAGCAGGGTCCCTACCAACAATGTAAAAGTTAGCCCCGCATTAATCCGGGCTTTGCATGCCATGCACCTCAGTTGGACCAGCAAGTGCATGGGCGAAGGAATTAGAAACCACAGTGGTTTCTGGATCAAGAACACCGTCTTCAAGCACCTAAGAATAAATCATCATTATCACTGAAAATTAGCTTCCATTCATGTTGGGCATTTGTATAGTAATTTAAGCAGACAAAAACCATCATCATGGTCAGCTTATAGGCTTTCAGGTTCAAGATGCTATAGGACTACTCTTTACATTTAAGTGTAATGGTTTCCCTTTGATACCACACTTAGTTCCAATATGTTTGTTTTGAAGAGAAAGGACAGAAAAATAATAAATAGAGAAGTAAAAAAACAGATATACAGGGTGAAATGCAATTCAGCATTCTAAGCTCAAGGAGTTATAAATTGTTATAAAGACACAAATTACGGTTCCTGCTTCTCCTTGCCTAATATCTGTGTTTAGGCTAATTACAAACAAATCTGTAAAGTGTTGGGTCAAAAAACTGATCTAAATACCTTTTCATGTTGTTTCATTCGCCACTAAGGGGGACATCGTCTGCTGTGTAGCCTCCCAATGGATGAAGCAAGAGGATTGGGTTTGTAACCCATCTCAAGGAGCCGCCGACGAGTATCACATCAACAAAGCAGGCCATTATGCACAGGATTCCTGAGCTGGAAAGCAAACACTGCATCGGCATTGCGCTTTGAAATTCTTGACGAAGTTGTGCAGGTGACAACCGAAAACGATCAAGACCATCATGATACTTGATGGTTCTATAACCTCTAAGTCACCTCCAATCAACCAGTTTCCAGCATTAGTTATTGCCTGATCAACATAAGGTAGACCAGGGGCGGTTGTTCCCATGTTCTGGCTATCCTTTCTTCTTTGGGGTGCTTGTAGATCTCAATACTGAAAGACCCAATAAAAGTAAATAAATAAGAAAACAGAAAAGAAAATACTAGCAGGCATGAAAGTTGACATTACAATTAATGTTTATACTTGACAAAGAGTAAAGATATTGCAAACATAACTACACAAGATTCCAGTATCGATAAATATGAAATCCTATCATCTGAAGTCAGTTTGTTACGGCTAGGAAAATGATCATAAAGGCAAATGCATCATCCTGAATCATGTTGATTTGTTTCCTAAAATACAAGGTGATCAATGTATATGACATGCTCAGAGAAATAGAACAAAAACATATATTAATATATTGAATCATATTCAATGCGTTAGATCCCGTTAATAAATATTAGAAATAATGCCCGATTTCAACTGTCAACTTCATTCCTCTAGTAGAGTGTTGGGTAACCAAGTTAAGATTTGTTAAAATGGTTAGTAGAGACGCAATGCAGAAAAAAATAAAGAGT